TACACTCCCAGTAAAATGATGTTAGGTCAAGAACCAATTTTACCCGCAGATCTATTGTTTGGTGCAGATAAACCCGAAACCAAGGCAGCGTCGCCAAGTAATTTCATACAACAAAAGCGTGTTATTATGAATAAAATACATGAAATCGCGCGTCATAATATGTCACTTGCGTCTGACCGACAGAAAAAGCAATATGACCACCGTGCAAATTCAATTTCTTACCAGATCGGTGATAAAGTATGGCTGACTAAAGAAGTGAAGACTAAAGGTAGAACCCCCAAACTAGAGAATAGGTGGGTGGGACCATTTGAAATAATTGATGTGCTGTCAGACCTCAATTACAAGATTAAGTCTAAAAACAAGATTCAAATAGTTCATCATAATCGCCTGAAACCAGTCGTTAATAAAATGTAAAAAGCAAATAGCTTCTAAATAGTAACAATATGTTCATAATTTGTATTTTGCAGTATGCCGAAGTTTCCGAAAATACCCAAGTTACCATATCTGACAAGGAAGTATGTGTGTAAAGAGTGTTGTGTTGGCTACGACACAGACATACAATGGGATAGACATATCCAAGACCGGCACGAGAGAAAAGTCGCCTGTAAATATGGTTGTGGTGAGGAATATCCGGTGCGCCGTTCAAGAAATCTAAGAAGGCATGAAGAAACATGTTGTAAGAGACGGAAGGTTACGAATACTGAGAGCGTCGAATATGAAAATATCAACACTCCGCCAGACTATGGCATAAATATTGAAGTAGATCCAGATGTTCTTAATAGTCATCAGGTTGATTTGCCAAGTTATCATACGTCCTCAGACAGCTTAATGCCGTTTGGAAATCCCCAGAAACCGGAGGGAGCTAAGGAGATACCAAAGGTACAACCTGTCAGTTCATCTGTTGAATCTTCCACTAGTGAACCGCTAACGTCAATTTCAGATTTAAATAATACAGATTGGTCATCAACGGATCCATTGCTCACGACACCCAGCCTTGATTATCTGTTAGATGACAATTTATTTGCAACACCATGGTCATCCGAATTCACACCATTAATATCTGTTGAGTCAAATTCAAGTGTATCTGTATCTGCGCCAGTTATTTCTACCCCGGAGCCAGCCCCAGCAGAATCATCACCAGCATTGTCTACCCCAGAATTAGTTTTAGATTGTTCATCCACACCAAGTTCACAGAATACCACTGTTACACCTGCTATCCAGTCTACTCAAACAGCCATGCCAACATTACCAGTTTTGCCGAAGTTTAAACAAACCGAATCTAGAGATTATCGTCTGATAAAAGTTAAGAATATTCCGCTGGAGGTGGACAAAACGCACACAGTATCCAATTATGAATATACGATGCACGATCCTCGTACATACCTCAGAGGAGCACCATCAGCATATCTTAACACTGTTAATTCAAGTCTTATAAAAGAACAACGCATCCGAGCTTTGCAACTTGGTGTGGATGCAGCCGACATCAGTTATGCCTGCAAAGGTACCACGGTTATAAAAAGGGAGAAAGTTGTATTTAATAATGGAGAAGTTTATTGTTTGGAGACGTCAATCGTTCCAAATCCATCAGAAAATTCAGCAAGAGCAAGAGAAACTCAAACGACATCGTTCAACTGTAAGCACTGTGGACGCCATCCATATTTGTGAGGAAGCTACAATAAAATAAGGAAAGAAATAATTATCGTGTTGTGACTGTGTATTAATAAATAATAAATAAAATTCATCATTAAAACAGAACTTTTGGACTGTGAAAACTAGTATAAAATTTACATTTAAAAATTTCAGTGTGATAAAAATTTATATTATAATTATAAGTAGTGAATACCTGGAAATATAATTCATCTGGTGTTATAACTTCATATTCATTTGGAACTGTATACTCTACAACAGAAGGAAAGGTAATATTAATTTATGAACATTATATGCACTTGGACAGGAAAAGTTATGGACATTTATAATATATAAAAAAAAAAATTTGTTTGCTACATGTATATACATATTTAAGTCAATTGATTATGAATTCTGGAAATATCAGTAAGTCGATTAATCTTTTAGTCTTAATTTATGTATATTAAAAAAAAAATCTATTGTAACTTTATGAAGGTGGTTGTTAAAATTATTGATTACAAATTATATTTGGAAGATAATAGTGTAAGTTGTGTAATCTCTAATTAAAATATAGTTTTTTTTTGTGTGTAATAGAGGTAATAAATTCTTGTATTGAAGAATTAACTTACAATTTGAATGAATAAGTAATCAGATAATTTGCTTGATTAAATCAATTAATTATTTGTGTCAATTTTTTTTACGACACATATCAACATTTATAATTCCAAATGTTTGATTATTTGAGCTAATTATTTTTTTTAAGTAAAGTGTATTTTTATAAAAAATAAAAATAAATAAAGAAAATAAATACAATGTTAAATACAAATGTAATGTACCAGTTCGGGACGAACTGATTTTTTAAGGGGGGAGTAATGTGACGTCATCGTCACGGCATTATTATATGTAAAATTATAATTTACAATGACCATTGTAAAAATAGTGAAGAGGACTTTTAATTACTTTTATTTAAATAAATGATAAAGATTGCAATAATTAACTATATTTATTTTGTAATATTGACATGTTCAAATACTTATAAACATCTTATATATATGTTATATTAACATAATATTATCATGTCAATTCAACCTGAAACATTGCAAAACTCGTAATCATTATCACATGTGTTTAATTAATGTACATGTCCGCATCGGAACATGTGACTTTTTATGTTGTTATTTTCTATCGTATATATCGTTGTATTTCAGCGTCAGACCTTGAGATTTTTGATACATACTGTTTAAGTTCATCCTTTGTCACATTCCTCCATCGTTCCTTACAGCTGACATTTTGTATTATTGTTTATTTTTAAGTTATTTTCCAGATTTCTCCGCTCAGCTGTTTTCGTGTAGTCATCTTCTTTGCAAGTGCGCATGCTCCGTGTCGGGTCATAACTCATTATGCGGATCATAAATTTTCTGCGGACCCCTTTTTCACCGGGTCAGTGTTACCTACGGCGCATGCCCAGCATCGGGTCAAAGGGACCCTCTGCGCATGCCCCGGGTCAAATCAACGCTAAACTTCAGTTGCGATCCAGGTTTCCTAGAGAGCAGCCACGCTCTGATTACTCTCAGAATTTAAATAATTATTTTTGATAATTTCTTCAGGTTTCTTCAGAAGTTTAGGTACTAAGAACTTTCTGGCATCATTATTGCTGATTAAGTAAATTTTTCCATAATAAATTTTTGTAGGAAATTAAATTTAAGAGCTTTTATTAAATTTTCACACTTTGCCATTTTCGTCGAGGTCTGGCAGCTTAGGAAGTTAAGATACTGTTAAATAGTTAAATATTTGTTAAGTTTTCTCGAATTCTATTAATTGTTATTCGCTCCTTAAATAAATTTACTTGTTGAGAATCAAATAACTTTTGTTATTTTCTGGTCGGCTCGGTCGATCGTGACGTGCGCTCACCCGCTACCAGGGGAGAGTCTTTAGTCTACCCGCTACCAGGGAGATATCAACGCCTGACTACGCCAAGAAATAATTAAATTAGTCCAGTATAGTCGGCCCCTTATATGAATATTTAGACTTAGTCTTTGCCCCACCGCGCGCACGTCGCAATATCAATTCATATTACAATCAAGCACTGAGACAAGTCGAACACGCTGTCCTACTGACAGCACTTGTTTAGTTCCTAGCAGTAGAGTATACGATATTTATAAATACAGAGGATGTAGTGAAAACTAGGAGAGTTAATTTATTCATTGTTGTATTGCTAAGGCCATGCAAAAACATATTCAAACATCGTAGAATTATAAATAATTCAGAATCAAATATAAAAAAAAATATGCACAACAGATAAATCATGTTTATGATATTTATAATAAAAATGCAGTATCAAATATTACATTCATTTGTGATTATACCTATATTCAGACAAAATCTTGGGTTGTTAATAGCGAAACGTAAAAACATATAGTTTACTAGTAAAGGTAACATATTATCAAATTTGATATCGAAATGTGCCAGATATACATGAAAGTTGTACACATAGATATAAGAAGATTACACAGCAGTAAGAAAAACATTATACAATCTGTCTTTTTTTTCTTTTCTTTTCCCGCTTCGAGTTTTTACAGGTACAGATATTGTAATTTATCAGAAGATAAAAATGTTAAAATGATAATTAATGTATAAACACTTATTTACTAAATGTGTGAAATTGATTTGCACAGTTTTTAACTTGGGGCAGTCCATTCAAAGTTCATTTATTGTGTAAGAGATTGGCTCAGTTTTTTGTTTTTTTTTTTTTTTTGTTTTTTTTTTGTTTTTTTTTTTTGGTTAGGCTGTCTTGTATAATCCACAATACAATTTAACAGTCCATTCAAATTTCACATCTGTGTAAGAAGTTGGTTTTGATTGTTTGTTTGTTTTTTTGTTGTTGTTTTTTTTTTGCTTCCTTTTGTTATAGTGTCTTGAATAAGCCGCTTGTCTCAAAAGTAAGCATATTTAAAAAAAAATGACAACATGAGAACTTAGAAGCACAATGTGATTATTTCTAAGGTTTCATCACAAACATTGTTAACTTAATTTATCTTTTATCTATTTAGTTTTGCATTTTATTATATGTTTTCCTTTTTTACAGACGGAAAAAACATCAAATTTAAATTGTAAACATACCTTCGATTTGTAATGTTAAACGAATCATAATGATATCTTCTCTTATAATAAAACATATTTTGTTTAGCTGCAATTCCACATGAAATATTAACACTACACTTAAAAGTGCATTTCTTGTGTAGAACAAATTTAGATTTTTATTTCCTTTTTGTGATTCATATTTCGTTATTTTCAAAGTTTTAAATATTGGGAAAAGACACCGTCTTAATTATATTTCACAGATTGAAAAAAGTGTAATTGTACATATAACATTCTTACCATTTAACGCCGTCACTACGCAACTTAACTTCTAAACAAAGATCATTTGATCTGTTGGTTGGCTGATTCGAGTACCACTTGAAAAATCCTTTTGTGGATCCATAAGTGTACTCCCATGGAGAACTAACATCTTTACGATGTCCGTCAATCCAAATGTAGGAACCGATTCCTGTAAGAAGACTACTAACATCCTCTAATTTCATTTCCGAGTCGATATTTACCAGATGACCACCATCTTTCTGACATTGTTTTTCTGCAGCATCTCGTTTCACTTGTTTGTCAGCATACAACTTAATGCAAAACCCGTTCTTTGTAACATTATACCCTTTAGGACAAGTCTTACCCATAATACAAATTCCAAACTCTTTCTCTGTCCTGCTGTTAGAGTCTATCTAACAAGTTGTGTTATCCACACTGCACCGACGTGTCCTGAATTTTGTACCGAACTGACCTACTCGAGCCGTGCAACCGGACCACTCCGTCCATTCTAAACAAGGATGAAGGTCGCAGATTTTCTCAATTTCCTTTTCAATATTGTCAATTGTTTTTCCTATCATTTGTAATTTTGGCAAAGAAATTGGCAAAGTTCTTATTTTCACTGGTAATAATTATTGAATAGTTCACTTGACTCAAAAGTACCGGCCTAAAATAGCAAATTCGTCCTTTCTGCAAAAGAAATCGATATCTTACACACGCACAATGTGGTAATTTCTAAGGTTTCACAGAAAACATCGGTATTTTAGTTATTTTATTATTTACTTTTTCTTGTATTTCATTTGTTTTTATTTTAACAGACGGAAAAATAAATTCATCTTAAAATTGTAAACAGGCATTTTATTTATAATGTTACACGAATCATAATGATACCTTCATCTTATAATTTGAAAATATTTTGTTTATCCGCAATTCCACGTGAAATGAAATATCAACACAACACTAATCTTAGAAAGCGTTGTCTAGTTCATTCTTTTTTTCTATATGTGATTCATATTGCGTTATCTTCAAAGTATAAAATGTTGGGAAGATACGTCGTCTTATTTAGATTTCACAAATTGAAAAATATGCAGTTGTACATGAAGCATCATGCCACTTAACGCCGTTACTGTACAAAGCAATAACCAAACAAAGGTCATTTGATCCGTTGCCTGGCTCACTCGGGTACCACTTGAAGAATGTTTTTTGAGATCCATATGTGTACTCCCAGGGAGAACTTGCATCTTTACGATGTCCATCTATCCAGATTCCTATGTTAGTACTGAAGCCTGTAAGAAGACTACTAACATCTTCAAACAACTTCATTTCCGAGTCGATATTTACCAGATGACCACCATCTTTCTGACATTGTTGCTCTGCGGCATCTTTTTTCACCTCGGTGTCAGCATAAAACTTCATACAAAACCCGTTTTTTGTAATATTATACCCTTTAGGACAAGTCTTTTCCATGATACAAATTCCAAACTCTTTCTCTGTTCTGCTGTTAGAGTCTATCTCACAAGATGTCATATTCACGCTGCAACGCCGTGTCCTTAACTTTGAACCAAACTGACCAACTCGAGCCGTGCAACCGAACCACTTCGTCCATTCTGAACAAGGATGAAGGTCACATAATTTGCCCTCGATTTCCTTTTCAATATTGTCAATTGTTTTTCCTATCATTTGTAATTTTGGTAATTTGAGTGCCATTCCTATCTCCATTAATTTCTCGCCGGTTTAAAATCACCACATTTGTACCATTCCCGTCTTGTCAAAGGTGCACGTTATATTTTAATACACAAAACAATTATATTAAGAAATAACCAAACCCAATGCCATTATCTTATTATAACAACCCATATTTGCCTTTTTTTCTGAAATGTTTTGTTTTAGTCACAGTACTTTCTAAGCAGGTTTGAATCAAAAAAATTTTGAAGTGTGGGATGATAAACTGGAATAATAATTTATAAATGAATGAATTTGTCTTGAATTTACGTGGCGTAGCAAGACACATGTTAACGTAAAATTTGGTTGAATGGTGTGAAGTGATTTTCATTATTTTTCAGCTCGTGGTGTTTGTTGTTGTTGTTTTTGTTTTCTTTTGTTGTTGTTTTTGTTGGACTTTGCTATTTAACTTTTGTCAATAATTTGCATACTGATATTAACATGATTTTCTGGCTTTTGGCTGATATTGGTTTCAATCATTTACAGATTTATATTGACATTGGTTGCTAGTTTATGGCTGATATCGGTTGCTGGCTTATGGCTGATATTTGTCTTCATGTGCAAATTTGTATTTAGATCGGTAACATGCTTGATTATGGCTGGTATTGGTCTTCAATCATTTGCAGATTGATATTTACATTAGGTACCGATATATGACTGTTATTGGTTTTTACTCATGCGCAGAATTATATTTATATTAAGTGCTGATATGCTTGCTAATTGTATATAAATCCCATGCTGATATACGGCTTCTATTGGTATTAAAGATCCTGTGTGTTGTGATCAAAGTGGTTTACCACACTAAGTGAAATTATATATATGTACATAATTATGCAAACAAAACAATTTTCAAACATCGAAGAATATGTAAAATATGGCCTGCAAATATTTGTGCATATTAAATGTAATCATTAAAATATATGCATTCATTTCTTATTGAAAAATTTGACTTAAACTTTATAGAAAATAAATTTCTAATTACCTCCCTTTATTTAAAATGTTAAATTCTGTAATATCTTTATAAATAATGTTTTTTGGTATTGATAAATTTTAATTTGAGCATCATATTTATGATTTAAAACCTTAAAAAAAATGTGTTACAGGATCTTTAAGCCATGAGCAGATTGATATTTACATCGGATGTTAACATATGTATGTATTAATATTTTTTTCAAAAAAACTCATTTTTATGTATTAGCTACGCACTTGCATTTGTTATAATTTGTTTACTTCAAATGTTAATGTACGTTTACATTAACCGAGAACGGGAAGGTTATCAGACAGGAAATAATTTATTTTCGCATTTCCCATGAACTATAATATTTACAATATAGTGATCAAGGGGGGGGGGGGGGGCTGGAGTTACAAAATTGGGATTAAGTGTATTCCACCGAACACCTTGTTATTATATTTGTCTTGCATTATTAATTCTTCTGGTTATATAGACGGAAAACGACGGAATTTGCCGAAATTGTACGAGACTATAGTGGATGCAGCGCCTTATCCTTTCAGCCACGTTTCACCCCGTAAATACATTTTTATGCCAGCTTATCAACGCATACATCAACATCCTGAAACGTTTTACCCCGAACTGATGTTATCCTTTATCACGTTTTTTCTAAGAAAAAATAAAACATGAGATTTACGAAATTGTCTCTAAACACTAACCCTTTTATTTTTTTACCGCTGCTTTTAGCTGTAAATATTTCTAATCTGCTGCTATATTTGTGAGAAATAAATTCATACTGTTTTTTTTCTGAACAGCAATATACCGAAAAGTCGATTTCTGTTTTTATACTATCATCATTTGTTGAAAGTTCTCAGTTTAAAATGGAAAAAAACATAACAAAAACACATTTTTTGTCTTTATTAAAAATGTTTTTACTTTACAAGCTCAATTAAAGTATTTTGAAGATATGGACGTTTTAGGCAAATGTTTTAGTTGTGATGTTTCCAAATAAAGGATTTTTTAAGATCGTTCACGACACCTAAAAAATTCTCCCAATTCCACTGTTTTTTGTCGGCTCGAAAAAAAATTCTTTAATTCTAACAAATCGTTACAAAACATGTATCAAAAATATTGTAGCGCACAGAAGAACTTGATAAAATCTTACACAAAAAAAAATTTAAAGTTTTACTGTGTGGTTAAAGCCTTAACGATTTCTTAGAATAAAACATATTTTATCTGCGAGTCGACCGGATGTTTACCAAAAAAAAAACACACACAACAACAACGTAATATCCTTCTATTGAATTCAGTTTGTTTCGGGGTCTTATCGATATGACTTGTTATTTATACTTAACGGATGCTCCAAACTCATGTACAACATTAAAAAAGTAATAACTTAAAACTGTCAGCTTAAAGCAAAGTCTTTCATAATTTATTATCACACTATCAAATGTTCAGGAGGTAGCTGATCCGATCCTCTTGCGTAGCGTAATTTCTCTGTGACAATTGATCTCGGACAAAGAGCCCCAGAAATTATTGCGTGATCAGTAGCTAGTCACTTGCGGCTAATTGATAATGACTGGACAGTTATCCAGGACAGCCAGTTAGATGGATCAACCACCGTGAAATGACCAAAACATGTATTAAGAACGGCGTTTTAACCAGGAAACAAAATAAAATATTTTATATATATTACAGATTTACTCCGCGTGATTACCCAAGAAAATTAATTTATTTATTCTTAAATCTCTAGATAATGTATAAATTGCTCAGAAGTTTTAGCGCATCTAGGTCAATGACTCTGTTGAAATACTCACAGAAAGTACATACAAAGTATAAACATATACTTAAAGGCACATTACGCTTCAAAAATCCATATTTTTTAATTCTTAAAGAATGTCAAACACGTGTTCAATAATGTTTAAATAATTAAGATGTTTAACAACTGAACAAATCTGCGCTGAATGTGCAGTAATGTGTCGTAATGGAAGCAAGATGTAAACAAGTAGTATTTTCTCTTCCATACAAAATACTCATTCGCTATGATATACCCAATGCAACAAGTAAAAGATTAATCATCTTAGTGGAAAATGAGTAATTATCTGGAGACTGCAACAAGATACAAAAACAAATGTTCTTAAGAAATAAACATGATGGTATTTTTTAGGCATAATGGGCCTTTAAAACTTGAAAATGTAAAATAGTATGGCTAAGGAAACAAGAAATGAGTAATGAGACCTTGCAGGTCTACAAGGTGTTAAAATCATTCTTTATCACATAGCCGAGCCGATTTTGCGACTCCGTAAATATCTTTATTATATACTTATAAATGAAATATTGATGAAATCAAATGCGTATTTTTATGTCCCGTATTTTAACTGTTAAAAATTTATTTTCGACTGCAGTGAAACATATTTACCGTATTTTCACTGGTGTCTTGCCGGACTACTTTCTTCTAAATTCAGTCAATACACAGAATTAAAAGGGAATTCTTCCTGTTCATAAGGTTAAAAAAATGAAAAATTATATTATAATAAACAGAAAATTCAAGTTTTCTCTATTAATAAAGGATTTATTTCATCTTGTGGTATGAAAATTATTATATTTCACTCGTGGCTCCTGCCACTCATGAAATATTCACTCGATGAAAATAAATCCTGTATTTATAATGAAGAAACTTAAATATCCTCTATGTATTACACAGTCGTGACGTCAAATGACACGCTAAAAGGAAACGCCTCAATGTACATATTTAAGTTATTCATTTTTATCGTAATCAGTTCTTATTTTGGATATATGGTCAATTAAATATTAAATTCGTGTACATTACTAAATTTATTGATCAAGTTGAATGAAATAATATTATGCTCATCTCACTTGTTAAATAAATTCAATAAATTCAGTATTGATTTTACACGCATTCAAAAACCTATGCTGTATGAATTATTGTTTTAATCAGTTATAAGTGTTATATAGACGGATTGAATATTTCTTATGCTATTTATGAAACTGAAAAAATGGATTTGATAAGATAAAAGAAAGATGAAACAGTATTCTAGGTAACCGTTGGTGAAGTGGCATGATAGCTCAGTTGGTTAGACCACTGACTGTCACTCCTTTAAGTCCCGGATTCGATCCTGGGTAACACCCTTGGGATTTTCAGAGACACTTTCAGTGTTTTCCACCTACCTAGTGGTGTACTGATAAGAAATCTAGGTAAACCACGCTTGTATCAGTGCTATACACTGGGCATGTAAAAGAACCAAGGGGTCTATTCAATAGAATCTAGGGGCTGGTGTGGGGTTTGATTTTGATTGAAGAATGTCTGACTCCGAGACCAAGCTGGATCGTCCATTTCCAGACGGTGCTGGAGAACCGGTAAGATTTTATTTTCATTTTGTACATCTACATGATACGCCCGAGCAATCAAGACTGACGATAACTGGGACGCAGACAGGCAGTTTTTGTTTTTTGATGATTATATTTTTGTTTCACTATTTTTATTATAAGCAGAGGGAACAATAAAAAAACTCATTCTCAGATTGATAACGTTTTACTGAGGTAAATTATGTTTGGCAGTATTTTGCCCATAGTTGTATAAGAACATTAAATATTTCAGACTATTGGAAATAGTATAAGGTAAACAATTACATGTATATAAATAAATATTATATGACCAAAGCCCATATGGCCGATTTTGCTCCGGACAGTCGGAAGTGACATAAATTGCTCCGGATATCGGAAGCCTAATGTGTCTATTCAGATATAATCAATTAAAATTATATTTTAAAAAGAGACAAGGTGTTGACAATGTCAAGACAAGAGTAAATCATGATACACAAGTGTCCCGTCATAAAGTAAATTATGAAAGCGGAAAAGCACGTTGGCTTGGAAAATAATGGAAATCATTCATCCCACACTACAAACCATGGACAGAAATTAATATGCTGATAAATTTTTATGTTCTTTTATTTAAATTAAAATATTTTATAATTAATATTTTTTTACTTTGTAATTGTTTTTTTAATAAATATCTATGAAACTAGTAAGTTGCATATATTTTTGAAATTTCAAGTGCGTTACTGAGATGATGGTCAATCTGATGTTTTCAAGTATTTATCATGATAATGAAACAAAATTGATGCTTATTATAATAGTTATGTTTTCAAATTCATTAATTTGTAACTTAACACTTTATTTTGTTGCAAATCACTATAATTGATAAAATATGTATTCTTCATATTAATATAAACTCAAAGCTTGCCTCCTTCTCATGTAGATATTTCTAAGAATCAGAAATCATATCATATCAGATATTTAAGACGGAAGTGTCATACTGAATTATACTCTGGAATAGATAGAACCTTTAAAAGTACATTCAAGTTTTCTCATGGTATAACTTTGGCAAACCACTTCTTAAAATTATTTTGCATACAAGAAAAAATATTCATACTTTTATTATTGAATCTAATCATCCTTAAATTAAGTATCTTACAATAAACTACTTCGACTTGACGTGAAAGTCTTTAGGCAGGCGATATGCAGGTATCTGTCTATAATATTTACATTTAGAGTACCAATACTTTAAGCTTGATTTGTACAAACAAAATAAGTCATTCGACTTTTTTTTAAATTAATAAGATTGTAATAACGATATAATTGCATCATATAAAAAATCCTGTCAGCCCTGACAGCCATTTTGTCCCTCAAAAACCACGTGCTTCAGATGGCAAAAGGAAATCATATATTACTTTTTTGGTATTTTGAATCTGACGTGAACATAAAACATGATAATCACAATGTAAAAACATGCATTCAAGGTTTATAAGTTTTTAAACTTATTCATGATAGAAATTAACTCTACTTGTTAAGGGAGACAACTAGTATAAATATGAGCATAATGACATGCCAGGGTTGTCTCTCCTATAATAAACTGCACTAATGAAATACAAAACTTTGTATAATGCTTATAATTGAAACTTCAGCAACCTTTCTTGAAACCGTGGTAGAGGCCATGGACTGCAGCTCGTATTTACCACTGCCAGCCGCGAGCAGGTTCTAATATGGCATGAAATCCTTTTTTCCAACCGTTATCAGAGTATTTTCTTTAAATAAAAAATTGCATTTATTTACACTTTACTTTCTATTTGTGTTTAAACTTTCGAACTAAATAAACTTGATAAAATTAATATAAAGCTTTGTTGGCTTACATATATGACAAATGGTAACATATATAATGAAGGAAGTTGAATTGTAATATCTTGTCTGAATTTAAATATGTAAGAGTTATTGATAACTTGGTAAGAAAGGTTAGTCAACCTGCTATATATAATGTTCAAGTAGTCATGTAAATTTTATTCAGGTGTCGTTCAAAGAAGTAAAATACAGTTAAGTTGATACTATTTAGCTCAACTATTCAAAGAATAAGGACAGCTATCATACTCCCCAGGGCGTCGGCGTCGGTGTCGGCGTCGGCGTAAGCACTTATGTTTAAGTCTGCGTACAACCTCAAATAATTTGAAATTCCATTGACATCTGACTCTGAAACTTTGTACACTTGTTCACTATCCTTTCTCCAACATGTACACAGGAGGAAGTATCTATATTTAGCATTTTGTCAGAATAATGTCCCCTTTTCGATTTACGTCAAAGTTTTTCGTTCTACCTCAGATAATTTCAAAGTCCCTCGATATATGGCTTTAAGCCTTGCATACGTCTTGTTCACCATAATAATCTCAACCTGGGTACAGGAGGAGGTCACTTTGTCAATCCTTTACACTATTTTTACAAACAAGGATTGGGAATAGTCGAGCACGCTGTCTAATGACAGCTCTTGTTTAGTTCCTGGTAGTTCCCATTAGGGTATACTATATTCATATATACAGAGGATGTAGTGAAAACTAGAAAAGTAAATTTATTCATTTTTATATTACAAAATGAAATCAAGACCATGCAAAGTACATAATCAAACATCGTAGAATTATGAATAATTCAGAGTCAAATATAAAAACAACAGCATGCACTTCAGATAAATCATGTTACAGTTGTAATAAACAAATAAACTATCAAATATTATGTTTATTTATGATTGTACCTATACTCAAGCAAAATCTTGGGTTGTTTAGAGCAAAACGTAAAAACATGTACTTGTAAAGGTAAAATATTTGCAAATTTGATATCAAAATGTACCAAAATGTACATGAAAGGTGTACATAAATAATAGAAGGCTAAACAACAGTAAAACAAAATGATATGATTATTTAATTTTAAAAGAAATGCGTTTTTACACGTAAAATGATCTTGTATTTATTAAAAGGTAAAATTAAACGTTATGATAATGATTGTACAAAGCATTAATAAACCAAATGTGTGCAATGATTTGTTCATTAAAATTTGAAGCAGTCCATTCAAATTTCGTTATTGTGTCAGAAATTGGCAAATTTATTGTTTTGTTTTGAAAATTCCCTAGTATCAAAAGTACCGACCCTTTTATTCGAACACATAGAAAATTCCTCCATTTTGAAAGAAACCCGAAATCTTCATGCAATATGTGATAATTTTAAAAGTTTCACAAAATGGGTAATTTAAGTGATTTTTTTTTTGCATTTTATTTGTTTTCATATAAACAGACGGAGAAAGAAAATAATTCTAGAATTGTAAACATGCCTTTCTATTTTACACGTTATATAAATCATGATTATATCTTCTGCATATATTATAATTTAACATATTTTGTTCAGCTGCAATTTCGCATGAAATGAAATATTACTTCTATGACTTAAAAGGAGTTCCAGTTAAAATCAAGTTAAGATATGTTTGTTCTTTCTTCTATATGTGTTACACATTGTTTTTTCTTCAAAGTGTAAAATGCTGGAAAGAGATACATCGTGTTATTCAAATTTCACACATTGAATAATATGAATTTGTACATGCCACATCATACCACTTAACGCCGTGACTGTACAAAGCAATAACCAAACAAAGTTCATTTGATCCGTTGGTTGGCTGACTCGGGTACCACTTGAAGAATCCTTTTTGAGATCCATATGTGTACTTCCATGGGGAATTTACATCTTTACGATGTCCGTCTATCCAGATTCCTGTATCAATACTGAAGCCTGTAAGAAGACTACTAACATCTTCTAACTTAAATTCCGAGTCTATATTTATCAGATGTCCACCATCTTTCTGACACTGCTGTTCTGCGGCATTTTGTTTCACTTTTTTGTCAGCAAACAACTTCATACAAAACCCGTTCTTTGTGATGTTATACCCATTAGGACAATGCCCAATACAAATTCCAAACTCTTTCTCTGTTTGGCTATTTGAGTTTATCTCACAGCTTGTCATATTTACACTGCACCTCCGTGTCCTGAATTTTGAATCGAACGTACCAACTCGAGCCGTGCAACCAGACCACTCCGTCCATTCTGAACAAGGATGAAGGTCGCAGATTTTGACCTCAATATCCTTTTCAAAATTGTCAATTGTTTTTCCTATCATTTGTAATTTTGGTAATTTGAGTGCCTTTCCTATCTCCATTAATTTCTCGCCGTTTAAATCACCAGCATTTGTACCATTCCAATCTGTCAAAGGCGCACTGTTAATAGTTTTCATACACAAAACAGTTATAGTAAGAATAACCAGCAATGCCATTATTTTATTATAACAACTCATATTGCTTTTTCTGATATTATTTTGCTCAGTCACAGTTCTTCTAAGCAGTTTGAATTCAAAATTGAATCTGAGAGTGTGATATAAATCTGGTATTCATAAATAAATGAATGTGTCTTGAATTTACGCGGCGTAGCAAGACACATGTTAAAGCAAAATTTGGTTAAATGGTGTGACGTGATTTACATTTTTTTATTTTTCAGCTCGTGGTGTTTGTTGTTGTTGTTGTTGTTGTTGATTTTTGTTTGCTTTTTTATTTCCTGTGATTTTCATATTTATCATTTTCCACCGTTTTTGTTGCCCTCCAAGAACATTTTGCTTAATGTTTGATAATTTTTCCTTTTATCGACTGATCGTTGAATGCTTTAAAATTGTTAAAATTGATATTTTCATCGACTCCTGGCTTTTGGCTGCTATTGAACTTCAATAATTTACATACTGATATTTACATAATTTTCTGGCTTATGGCAGATATTGGTTTCAATCATTTACATATTTATATTGACATTGGTTGCTAGTTTATGGCTGATATCGGTCTTCAGCCATGTAACATTGGTATTCAAATCAATTGCTGGCTTATGGCTGATATTTGTCTTCATGTGCAAATTGGTATTTAGATCGGTTACAGGCTTATGGCTGTTATTGGTCTTCAATCATTTACAGATTTATATTGACATTGGTTGCTAGTTTATGGCTGATATCGGTCTTCAGCCATGTGAAATTGGTACTCAAAATCAATTGTTGACTTAGGGCTGATATTTGTCATCATGTGCAAATTGGTATTTAGATCGGTTACAGGCTTATGGCTGTTATTGGTCTTCAATCATTTACAGATTTATATTGACATTGGTTGCTAGTTTTTGGCTGATATCGGTCTTCAGCCATGGGATATTGGTATTCAAAATCAATTGCTGGCTTAAGGCTGATATTTGTTTTCTTGTGCAAATTGGTATTTAGATCGGTTACAGACTTATGGCTGTTATTGGTCTTCAATCATTTGCAGATTGATATTTACATCAGGTACCGATATATTGCTGTTATTGGTTTTTACTCATGCGCAGAATTGTATTTATATTTTGTGCTGATATGCTTGCTAATTGTCATATAAATCCCGTGGTGATATAAGACTTCTATTGGTATTAAAGATCCTGTATGTTGTGATAAAAGTGGTTTACCACACTAAGTGAAATTATATATGTGTACATAATTATGCAAACAAAACAATTTTCAAACATCGAAGAATATGTAAAATATGTCCTGGAAATATTTGTGCATATTATATGTAATAATTAGAATATATGCAGTCATTTCTTATTGTAAAATTTGCGTTAAACTTTATAGAAAATAAATTTCTAATTACCTCTCTTTATTTACATGAAATGTGCAATTCGGAAATAACTTTATAAATAATGTTTTTTGGAACCTACAATATTGATAAATTTTAATTTGAGCATCATATTTATTATTTATAACCTTAAAAATTTGTTACAAGATCTTTAAGCCATGAGCAGATTGATATTTACATCGGATGTTAACATATGTATGTATTAATATTTAAAAAAAAAACTCATTTTCATGTATTAGCTACGCACTTGCACTTGTTATAATTTGTTTACTTCAAATGTTAATGTACGTGCACATTAACCGAGAACGGGAAGGTTATCAGACAGGAAATAATTTATTTTCTCATTTCCCATGAACTATAATGTTTACAATATGTAGATTTGGAGTTACAAAGTTGCATTTAGGTATTCCACCGAACACCTTGTTGTTATATTTACCTCGCATTTTTAATCATTCTTGTTATATAGACGGAAAGCGACGGAATATGCCGAAATTGTACGAGCCTATAGTGGATGCAGCGCCTTATTCTTTCAATCACGTTTTCATCCCATAAAACCACTTTTATGCCAGCTTATCAACGTAAACTTAAACATCCTGAAACAATTCCCACGAACTGATGTAATCTTTGTCACGTTTCCAAAAAAATACGTTTACGAAATTGCCAACTTATTAAATTTTTTACCGTCTGCTTTAAGCAGATATTTCTAGTCTACTGCTATTTTTGTGAGAAATAAATTCATGCTGTTTTTTAACAGCAATCTACCGAAAAGTCGATTTCTGTTTTATACTATCATCATTGTTTGAAAGTTCTCAGTTTACGGAAAACATAAACACATTTTTGTCTTTATTAAATGTCTTACTTTACAAGCTCAATTTAGTATTTGAAGATATGGACGTTTTAGCAATGTTTTAGTTGAATTTGGTGATTCCAATGATAGGATTGTAAGAGACTGTGTCATCGCGCACCAGCAAAATGATCCCAATTCCACTCTTTTTTGTCCGCTCGAAAAAAAATTCTTTAATTCTAAGAAATCGTTACAAAACATGCATCAAAAATATTGTAGCGCACAGAAGGTTGGCTTTAGTACTTGATAAAATTATACAAAAAAAAGTTTAAAGTTTTACTGTCTGGTTAAAGCCTTAGAATAAAAAAACATATTTTATCTGCGAGTCGACCGGATGTTTACCAAAAAAAATACACACACACACAACAACAAAAATAGCCCGATCGAGAGCATTTTGCAGGTGCGCGATGACGTAGTTCCCTACGATTGAATTCAGGTTGTTTCGGAGTCTTATCTCTATTAACCACCGATATGACCTGTTATCTATACTTAACGGATGCTCCAAAATCCTGTCCCAGCAAACACCTGACGTTGTTTCAACGTTGGATCTAAGTTGGATTTATGTCACGACATCAAAATCCTTAATACAACGTATTTGCGACGTCGTATCAACGTGTTGGAATTACGTCGATAGGACGTTGGATTTCAGTGAAATCTAACATAGAAGTCTTGATTGAGTCACTTCCCTTTGTTCTGATTTATAAACCCAATAGGTGGCTCTAATTTCAGTTCAAGATAATCATTCAAATTTTGTTATTCATTTTTTTCACATCAATTGTATGTTTTTTGTTATACTAGACCGTAGAAAGGAACAATGTTAGTATTTCAAATAAATTGAAAAAATAATGGAAACTTGATGAATTTCAAAACGAGGCTACAACAACAACTTGTTTTCAAATTCAAACAAAGACAAAGGACATTATAGACATCATAGAAGACAACTGGCATACTAAAAAGTAAGTGATATTTTTGAAGGTAGATTATTATTAAACTTACTGCATGCATAGTATAATAACTGAAAAATTATTAGTTACATTAGAAATATATATTTTCGTGATATTCAATTATCTCATTTCTAAACCAGTTAATTAACATAGTCTGATTCGCCCTAGTTTAACTCGTACTTTGGGTTTCACCACAACGTATTTGTTAACAAAGGAACACATGTCAATATTTGAGATTTAATCTATTGTTATTTAAATAGAGCTACACGTAAAAGGTCAAAGTAGGGATCTATCAATACATTAGTATACTGCAAAGTAAATTTATAACTTTTTGTCAATAATCATTGGATTTGTTTTTTTATAGACTAACACCAATGTTTGATTACAATTAGCTGATAACAATTTATATATTTGTATACATGAAAAACAGTCGACAGAAAAAAACATTTGGACATAAAAGAACGATGAGGACATCAAATTAAGGTAATAATATGGATTTTGATTTTGTTATTTACTATAATTTTTGTTTTGTCAAAATTAACTGTTAATCAAAAGTAAAATAATTACATGAAATGTCTTATGATTGAATTTGCACCTTTACATGTTACTGTTTTGCAAATTACATATATTTGAAGTTATAGTTTTTGAGTGTTCTACATCATCAATTGACATGTTTCTAATTTATGATATGCTAGGGTAATCTATGGGTAATAATATTGTAATTTAATATTATTGATATAAGACCATTTTAGATGTTATGTACACCTATTTATTTCTATTTCTTTTTTGCAGTTTCAAGGGGTAAAGACAAGTTGAACCTCAAAACAAGTTTTTACATGATTATTTGACACAGTGTCTTCGTAGATGAAAATAATCAGGATCCAGTGGTGAACGTTTAGTATATCAGAAAATTCACATTGAGGAGTATATCTCCAAAATTTAATACTTTTAAGTTAGTTTAAGAAGAAAAAAGATAAAAAATCACTTACTTTCTTTAAAAGTGAATATTATTGTTTTGTGTGTAACACTTAATTTTGACAGAAAGGAATATTTTCACTCACTTATCCGATTTTGTTACCGATAAAATCAACTGCAAAAGAAAGGATTATTTTCCATGATTTCCATTTTCTATGAGTTTTTAAAAGAAAATCTTTTTAAGCATGTTGTAAACTTTAATTGACAACTGTTGTAATAGATAATAGTAGTTAATGTGTACTGTAGATCTTTAAAGATCCTGTATGCTTTGTTATTGATATTATTACTGTGTGAATACCACACTTGAAAAATTATATATTTAAAATAATTATGCAAATAAAACAATTTTCAAACATCAAAGGATATGTAAAATGTGTACTGCAAATATTTGTGCACATTATATTTAATCAATCAATTACATGCATTCTTTTCTTTTTGGAAAATTTGACCTAGAATTTATGGAAAATAAATTTCTAATTACCTCCCTTTATTTACATGAAATATTAAATTGGGTAATATCTTCATAAATAATGCTTATTTGAACTTACAATATTGACAAATCTTAATTTGAGCATCATATTTATGAAATGAAACCATGAAAAAAAATGTGTTACAGGATCTTTAAATGAAAAAGATTTGTTGACTGTTATTTGTTATAATTTTGGATTACACAATGTGTATTATTGTATTGACTGAAAGAGGTCTGATAAATGTTAAACTTCAATTTTGAAAAGACATGTAGCTCTTATTTTTTTTAATTTTAATAGTTTATATACATTTTATAAATATCAAACCTTATTTTATTATCACTATAAATGATTAAAAGTGAGTCCTTTTTTGATGTTATGCATATATATGTTGGAAATATATATTAACTGTATAGTAAGTTTTACATGAATAGACAAATCAGAAACTGTGTTATAAATTTTGTTTAATTGTTTTTATGATTACTTTTTTAAATAATAAAATCACTTTTCGAGTATAGAAAATTTGTATTTTCTCTTTTATTTGGGAACTATTTAAAGAAAACGGGTCAGATTTATGTTGGGAATTGGTTGGAATTACGTTGGAAACTAGTTTGTATTACGTCAGTAACTGGTTGGAATCATGTTGGAAACTGGTTGGATTCACGTAAGGAATAGGTTGGAAAGTAGTTGTATATACGTTACATATAGGTTGGATTTATGTCATTTTAGGACGTTGGATTGACGTCGGATTCTGACGTCTAAAAAACTTTCATATACAACTAAATTCCAACGTCTATCCAACGTCGGACTCTAACATCTGAGCAACGTTGAAACAACGTCATGTGTTTGCTGGGGTACATCATTAAAATATTTAAAATAAAAAAAAGTAATGACTTAAAACTGTCAGCTTAAAGAAAGGTCTTTCATAATTTATTATCACACTATCAAATGTTCAAGAAACTCATTATAAGAGAGAATGTATATTGAATATACTCACATCATTAAACGGCTGGTACTAAAAGTAATTAGCCTTTGCCACTTTTTATGGACTTGACCAGTACCTCTGGACGCTTGCAGAAATCATGATCACAAAGTAGACAAATATCACTTCTTTCGCCAATTTTTAATATTTTTTATTCATGATCGTATATTAAATACTTTTGAAGAGTTAAGTAAGACGTCTTAAAGTGCATTTCGGCGGGTGAAAATGTGAGATGTTAGCATGTAATCATTCAAGCGCCTTGTCCGGTATATATCGTAATACGGTATTAAGTGTGGTGCTCCATCATTTTTTTATTCTCACTCACCTCTTATAGAACAAAGACAAGATACACATGGGTACAGTCTGACCATACTCTTGAATGTTGGTAGTTCATTTCTTCCTTCAATTTACATGTGCAAATATTATGTAACTGTAGGTATGCACCTTTGACATTGTTACAGAAAAATAAGTTCATTAATTGGCATTGAACTTATTAACATAGATTCATAGACCTAAACTTTTACAGTGACATTGTGCTAATTTTTTATATTGTCAAGCTGAGCTAATTTGAATACATATTTCAAGATTGGTTGTTATAATGGTGATTGACCAGCTGTTTGATTTAGAAAATGTTACGGATAAAATATAAAACTGACTAAAACTGCCCCACTATTTTTATAAACTGAACATTACAGTTATATTCCGATGGACATTTTCAGACATTTCTTTAGGCCACGTGATTTTTTATTGTTCTTCTTGCGAAAACTATAATGCAATTGAAAGGAATCACATGGCAAAATATAGACTTATTTTGACGTTCACCTGTTCAATCACTATATCCCATAGGGTGGGCATAATGCTCCTTTAAACTAATGCGTTTTGAAAGATTTCAATTAAGTAAGCTAATGCAAAATAGAAAATAATTGTACCCGCGCGCTTAGTTCAATAATCAGAACTGCGTCGTATCCTACAAAATGTAAACAAATGCCGCAATCTTTGGACGAAAAGTGTGGGGCAGTCTTTTCATATTTTAGGCATAATGATATCATATTCTAAACATTTTCATTTGTTATTTAATCACCATTACAAAAGGCAATATTTTAAAATATGTAGTGCCTTCAGCTCAAGCATGCTAAAGCAACACTTGAACACGTTGTTATATGGGGTGTGCGATCACGTGTTTTAAGTTTTAATTTTTTTTTCATTTGATACTTTTTTTCGGAATTTCTAGATCCTTATGACAGGTGCTAAATAAGCGACCGAAAAAATGAAAGCTTATTAGAATTTTTTCAATTACATTTTTCATTTTCGTTGAACCAACTAGTGCCAACGTTGAACCAACTCTGCCATTGGTTTTAGTTGTATACAAGGTCATTTTTGCGTATTCATGATGATCGATACTTCGAAAACAAGAAATGTTGTTTGAGGTCACTCGTATACTTAGCGCATAATTTGATAGTTGAACCAATATACAACCTACAATGATAATACAACTGCGTCGTATCATATTTTATTTTCAACTGCGTCGTATCATTTCTCGGAAAATAAACATCTAATGTTTTAATGAAATTTTAGTAAATGATGCAAAATCATATTTTGAAGTTGATGGTAAACTCTGAAACGAGTATACAATTGATGTGAAGAACTGCGTCGTATCCAAAAAAACTTCATAAAAATTCTGGTCTGCTTCGAGTTGCAAGTTCGCTATAACTTTTGCTTTACAAAATCGTTGTGCAAGCAACAAATACCGAACGAAGCGGAAAATAGTGGAGCGTGTTAATATATCTGGTTTCAGTCAATTCAACAAAAAGAGCAATAAACAAAAAACATACCTTTTTCGTTCCAAGATGGCAGCGCATGTTTACATTTTGTAGGATACGACGCAGTTCTGATTTCAGCCCTGAATAAAGATTAGTATCGGATTAGTAAACCAGGGGTTGCTAGTTCGATTCTCAGGCAAGGCATAATTTCTCCGTGATAATTAATCTCGGACAAAGAACCTGATGGTCATGCGTCTCCCGCCGCTGATATAGAAATCATTACGAGATAAGTAGCTGAACACTTGCAGATAAATTGATAATGACTGGTTAGTTATCCAGGACAGCCGGTTAGATGGATCAACCGCCGTGAAATGACCAAAACATGTATTAAGAACGGCGTTTTAACCAGGAAACAAAAAATAAAATATTTTATATATATTACAGATTTACTCCGCGTGATTACCTAAGAAAATTAATTTATTTATTCTTAAATCTCTAGATAATGAATAAATTGCTCAGCAGTTTTAGCGTATCTAGGTCAATGACTCTGTTGAAATACACACAAATTACACGCAAAGTACAAAAATATTTACTTAAAGACACATTATGCCTCAGAAATCCATATTTTTTTAATTCTTAAGAAATGTCAAACACGTGTTTAATAATGTTTAAAAAATTAATTTAGATGTTTAACAACTACAGAAAGTAGCGCTGAACATGCAGTAATGTTTCGTAAAGGTAGACAAAAGTAAACAAAGTAGTATTTTGACTTCCATACGAAATACTCATTCGCTATGATTATACCCAATGCCAACAGAGCAAAAGAAATAAAAGAAGTATTACATACCCTTGCCGATTTTGCGTAAAGATACGGTATTGCACGGTCGTGCATATATTTTGACGTGACGTCAATTGCCCTATACAATCAAAGAACACGCTCAAACAGTTCTTATTTGGATAAAAGGCAAATTAAATATTTAATTCGTGTACACCTCATTACACAGTTTATTGAACAAGTTGAATGAAAATATAATTAGATCTATGCTCATCTCACTCGTTCAATAAATTCAATATTGATTTTACACTCATTCAAAAGCCTTTTCTGTATGAATTATTGTTTTAATCAATTATAAGTATTATATAGACAGATTGAATATTTCTAATGCTATTCATGAAATTGAAAAAAAAATGAATTTAATAAAATAAATAAAGACGAAACATACAAAAAAGTATTTCAATATGATTTTTACATCGAATGACGTCATAATGTTATAACACATGACGTCGTTTCTATGTTACACTAACGTTCGTGGTTAAGACAACAAAAATGCCGGGCAGACAGCGAAAACGAGTTTCCCGCCTACAAAGATTATTTGAGCTGATTTGTTGCGCGTGTTGTTTTAAAGATCTATGTTGTCGTAAGAATGACGACGACGACGACGATCATTACCGCAGAAAAGACGACGTATCCAGTGTAAGACGCATTGCCAAATCTGCAAGCGAAACAAACGTCTTCATACGACAGAAGAATTTCCCGCCAAGGAGCCAAAACGAGCTCGATATTAAGTCATATGTAGCTAAAGAAGCAGAAATGAAACCAAAGTTGAAGAAACGAAACGAAAGCGACTGGCAGGTTCCACCAACAAGGCGGGATTTAAAAAGGCAAAGAAAGTTCGATATCTACGACGAGATTTGTCTACAGGAAGATGCTTGTTATGATATGTTTGCCGACACGGGACTATTGTCTGACCCCGAGAACGAGTTGGACCGTCCACTTGCAGACGGGGCTGGGGAAACTGGTAAGATTTTATTATTATTTTGTACATCTACATGATACGCCCGAGCAATCACTGGGAGGTAGTTTTTTGTTTTTGACGAGTATATTTTTTGTTCCACTGTTTTCATTATTATAATGATTATTATTAAAGCTAGTATTATTTTTTTTATTATTTCAAATATAATGATTTAATTTATTTATTTTAATGATTATATATATTGGCAGCATTATTGATTAATATTATTATTGATTATTGATTATTATTATTATGATTATTGATTATTAATATTTATTATTATCATTATTATCATTATTATTATTATTATCATCATTATTATCAACATTATAATAATACTATTATAATTATTATTATTATTATTATTATTATTATTATTATCACCATTATTATCATTATCATCATTATAACTATTATTATTTTTATTATTATTGTTATTTTTATGATTATTATTATCATTATTATCATTTTTGTTATTATTATCATTATTATCATTATTATTATTATTATTATTATTATTATTATTATTATTTTAATTATTATTATTATTATTATTATTATCATTATTATTTTATTTATCATTATTATAATAATTATTATTATTATTATCATTATCATCATTATTATTAATATTATTATTATCATTATTATTATTATCATTATTATTACTATCATTATTAACATTATTATTTTTATTATTATCCTTATTATTATTATTATTATTATTATCATTATTATCATTATTATCATTATTATAATTATCATTATTATTATCATTATCATTGTTATTATTATTTTTAATAGTTTTAGTGTTATTATTGCTTTTATTGCTATTATTGCTATTACTACTATTATTATTATTATTACATATGATTTTGTATGCAGATTTATCATCATTTTATAATTGAACCGTATTTCGTTTAAGACATGTGCAGTGAGCTCGTGCAGTGCATTCAACCATTAAGAAATGTTTATCTAAAATTCCAGCACAACTAGTCATGTTAGTGCATATAAAATTGTTAAAACGCGTGCTATTAGAAAGTAAAATGGTTGAAAAACGTGTACATGTATATGTAAGGGGAGTTGATAAGTTTACAAATGTTTCAATAAACTTGAATGTTTTAATTCCCCTCGAGATTTGAATTCCGCTAAGGTAGACAATATTTCTTCATCGATTCAACTTGTATAAATAAATTTAGACGTTGTTTTTTTTTTTTTTTTTTCGTTTTTTGTTGTTGTTTTTTTTTTGTTTTTTTTTTCGTTTTTTTTTTTTTTTTTTTTTTTTTTCTTTTTTTTTTGTTGTTGTTGTTGTTGTTGTTGTTTGGGTTTTTTTTTTAAATTTTGCAGCACGAAATTTTTTAAAATGTCTAGAAGATAAAAACATTGTTAAGTGAACAAAGAAAAATAATTTACACGTTACAAACGGGACTAAAAGCCCATGTAACTTACCAAGGTTTCAAAGTTTCAAAAAGTATTGGCTGTCGACAAGCAAAATGTCTTTTGATACATTTATACAATATCAAATACATGACATGATATTACCCAAAAAATGGAGGTCAAAATTTGCAAAAGCAGCCTTTAATGTGTTAGTAACACAGTCATTAATACTATGATAAAAGATACGGCAAAGTCTGTCAATAATCGCACTTAACATTGAAATTATTAATTGTACCCTGAATCTTTTTTTTTCTTTCTTTTATTTCATTAAAATTTCAATGTATTTTTCTCAAGTTTGATTTTCTTGAATTATATTGGCTTATCTCAGGAGGCGTGGAGCTTTAAGTAAGCTACAAAGTGTATTGACCTAGTCATGTGATTAAGGTTAGTTTTGTTCTGCAATAAATACAAACACGTAATCATTCCGTTTCTGCTTCTAAATTAGTAAGGTTAAACAATACATAGTCAAGTTTTTACTATAATTTCATCGAGTGGTTAACAATAAATATTTCTCGAGTGGCGGAAGCCACGATTGAAATATGATATTTTTCATACCATGATATAAAATAAATCCCGTATTTCGATACTGCCCTATTAATTTGTGTATAATGGCTGAACTTTAGAAAAAAAAGTCGTCCGGCAAGATAGCAGTGAAAATATGGAAAATATGATTCTTTGTGAAAAATATTTTTTACAGTGGAAATACGGAAAGTTAGAAAAAGAATTTTCTTTCATCGAAAATTCTCAATATTTTATTTATAACTTATATCTGAAAAACAAATGTACATATTTATTTCTTGAACAAAAACGTACGTAGAAAAACTGACGAAAACTATGATTTCTAATAGAATCTGGAAAAGGGAAGGCAGTGTAGGTGATCACGTGACATTTGTTTACGGTAACGCTGGTTCACCACCTATGGTCGCGCCCATGACTTAATTGTTTTTCCGTTATATCTTTTAACTTTTTGAGTAATTAACACAAACCATGTTTAAGGCAAATATTTTCCGATTCCAATGACACATATTGTTATAGTCAAAATGGGACTAAACTACGTAGATCTATATAAAAATATTTATAATACCTACTGTTGATAATGATAAAAAAAACAGTTAAAAGAAATTGTCTAAAAGTTGAAATTATCGGTTCAAAAATTGTACTGTCTCGCTGTTTACAATTTATGATAATATTTACATATTGATAAATAATTGAACATCAAATACTGCGCTTTATCTAAGTTTTGTTGACTCTTACGATAATATAAATGTAATAGGGGACATATTTGACGTCAAAATAACTGGATTGTATAATGAATGTGTTATTACCGAGATAATATGCAATACGTGTGGCTTGCGGTCAATAAAATGTAAGCGTACAGTACGTATGGCTTGCAAATTTTAACTTTAAAGGTGCAATAGTTGTGTCGTGTCATATCCGGTAATGGAAAGGTAATTATGCAATACTTGCGTTTGAATTTTAAGACTTTAATGTGCAATATGGGTGATATATCCAATAAATGATAGGTGAATGTGTAATACGCGTGACTTGCGGTTAATAGGGCGTTGAGTTGCAATACGTGTAATATATCCGGTAAATGATAGGTAAATGTATAAAACGCGTGACTTGCGGTTAATAAGGCTTTGAGTTGCAATACGTGTAATTTATCCGGTAAATGATAGGTAAATTTGTAATACGCGTGACTTGCGCCTGATAAGGCTTTGAGTTTAAAACGTGTTGCATATCCAGTTAATGAAGGATGAATATACAATGTGTGTGACTTGCGTTTCAAATGACTTAAGGTGTAATACGTGTGGCATATTCGATAAGTAAAGGGTAAATGTGCAATACGTGTGATGTGTGGTTAATAAGGCTTTGAGATGCAATACGGCTGATATATCCAATAAATGATAGGTGAATATGTAATACGCGTGACTTGCAGTAAATATGGCTTTGAGTTGCAAAACACGTGGCATATTCGAGAAATGAAATGTAAAAATGTAATACATGTGACTTGCGGTCAATAAGGCTTTGAGCTTTAAACGTGTTGCATATCCAGTTAATGAAGGATGAATAAACAATGTGTGTGACTTGCGTTTCAAATGATTTAAGGTGTAATACGTGTGGCATATTCAATAAATAAAGGGTAAATGTGCAATACTTGTGATTTGTGATCTATCCCCATCTCGACATTCGAAAAGGAGACAAAAAACGAATGTCGAGCTGAACGTCGTGCTGAATGTCTAGCCAGCTTCCCTTACCAACTCAACAGTGATAAATCGAATGTCGAGCTGAATGTTTAATGTCGGTGTCTATCTATTTATCTATGCTATCCTATGCTATGCTATACTATCTTATCCTATCTTATCCTATCTTATCCTATCCTATCATATCATATCATATCATATCATATATCATATTACCATATCATATTCTCCTTTTTTAATAGGAAAATTAACGTCAGGATACCGTGAATACAGTAGGTAGATAAATGCATGTTTTACAAGAAAAGCGTGGTTAATATTTACATAAAATATTCATTAACATTTAAGTTCATCTCTTAATTATGCGTGTGGTCTAAATTGTGTTACAATTACGTCATAGTATTCGTAAAAACTGCACGTATATGACGTAATACGTTGTCGGTCTCTAATTTACAAATTAATAATTATGTACATCAAACGACCGCGCCCTGATTGTCTTTTCATGTATCAAGATTTTTTTTACAAAAGGAATTAATTAAAATTAACATTGAGACATAGTGAAATTGTAAATTGATTATAATTTTCAGAAGTGCAACAGAAGAAAAATACGAGCGTAGGAGCCCACTTGTTTTTTTTATATTTTATTTGCGGTTTTAAATATATTACAGCATTGCATAAAAACTGAATAATCTAACTACGTCTGTTTTCAGATCATTTTTCTTTCTTTCTTTGTTTTTCTTTCTTTCTTTCTTTCTTTCTTTCTTTCTTTCTTTCAGGATTTAGGATATAAGTATGGGCTGTCAATACTGTATGGGGTAACAGTTTCAGTTTCAGTTTTTATTAAACCAAGGCATATAATATGCAACTGGTTATAACAAACAAACAAACTGAAAAATAACAGTCAAAAATCACTAATATCACAATAAAAGAATACAATTATGACTAGCTAAATAAACAAAAAAAGTAGATCATAGTGTTTATTACAGTACTGAATTCAATACAACATGTATTTTACATTGTAACAAATAGGAACGGAGAATGAGAAGTATTAATTATCTAAATTTTAACATAATGTTTTTACAAAATTAAGATCACAGAATGGATATTTAGTGCAATCGTTCAATATGAAAAAGTCAAAGCCTCAAAGTGATAAAAGTCATAGCACATTCCACTATTATGTCCATATTTATTAAACCCATCGGCGGCTAACAACACACATTACTACACACTTGGAACTTTACACTTTCAGCCGCACTATTCACTCAACGCTACTATACATTATCTTTTTACTTTCAAAAGACGGCAATTTCATGTTTATATGATATCTAAATTAAAGTGAAGGAAAGGTAAACTTTTCCCCATAATTTT